GCGCTCCCTCGGCACTGACCCTCCGACAGTGCGGCGCTCCCTCGGCAATGACCCTCCGACAGTGCGGCGCTCCCTCGGCACTGACCCTCCGACAGTGCGGCGCTCCCTCGGCACTGACCCTCCGACAGTGCGGCGCTCCCTCCGCCCTGACCCTCCGACAGTGCGGCGCTCCCTCGGCCCTGACCCTCCGACAGTGCGGCGCTCCCTCAGCACTGACCCTCCGACAGTACGGCACTTCCTCTGCACTAATGGTCCGACAGTGTGACCATCACCGTGCCCCAATGAAAGGAAGGTTATGTTGGAGCTGTACAGGCCTTTGCTGGTTGGAGTACTGTGTGCATGTCTGGTCGCTGCGCTATGACAAGGATGTGATAGCACTGGAAGGGGTGCAGAGGATGTTGCCTGGGATGGACCATTTCCGCTATGGAGAGAGGCTGGGTAAACATGGGTAGTTCACTTAAAAACACATAAGGCTGAGAGGTGATGTGATTGAGGTGTGTATGATTGTGAAGGGCATGGACAGGCTGGATAAAAAGCAGCTGTTACCCTTAATTGAATGGTCAATGACAAAGGGGTATAATTTTAGGGTGAAAGACTGGAAGTTTACAGGGTATTTGAGGAAAAACAATTTCACCCAGAGGGTGGTAGGAATCTGCAATAGAAGGCCTGGGAGGGTAGTTAAGACAGGAAACCTAGCAACCTTTAAAAAGTACTTGGATGAGCAGTTGAAATATCATAATACTCAAGGCTTTTGGCCTAGTGCTGGAAAGTGGGTCTACTGCAGATTTAGAGCAGTTTTTTGTTGACGCAAACTCAATGTACCATATAATCCTATGATCTTCTGAAAGGAAAGAGGGAATATGAGCAGCGAGAGGCTAAATTAAAAAGCAAAATCAGAAAGGTAATAATCTCTGGATTACTACTTTAAGCCACGAGCAAATTAGAACAAGGTCAACAACATTAAAGAGGTCAACATGTGACTCAGGTTCGAGAAACAGGTTCAAATTCATGGGACATTGGCCCCAGTACTGGGGAAAGAGGGTGCTGTTCCAATGGGATGGGCTCCACCTGAATCATGCTGGGACCAGGGTCTTGACAAATTGCACGACTAGGGTTGTGGATAGGGCTTCAAACTAAATAGTTGGGACAGAGACGGGGAGGTTCAGTAGTGTTGAAGAAGTTGGGGAGAGAAAGGGGTGGATTCAGCAGAGGTTATTAAAATTTCCAGAATACATAATTAGGCAGAGACTATGGAATGGGTCAGAAATCTAACATCAGGTACAGCAGATAAGGGGACAACTATGAGAAGGGTGGCCGTCAACACAGGACTGAGGGGGCAGTATACGATAATAGGTAAATGAGCTTGTAGCACAGATTGAAATGGGCAGGTGTGACATTGTGGGTATCATAGAAACGTAGCTGCAAGGGCATCAGGGCTGGTAGTATTAACGATCTGGAGGAAGAGACATTGTTACTAAGTTTGCAGATGACACAAAGATAGGTGGAGGGACTGGTAGTGTTGAGGAAGTGGGGAGGCTGCAGAAGGATTTGCACAGGCCAGGAGTACAATATGGGAAAATGTGAGGTTATGCACTTTCATAGAAAGAAGTGAGGTGTAGACTATTTTCTAAATTGGGAAGGGTTTCAGAAATCTGAAGCACAAATGGACTTGCGAGTCCTAGTTCAGGGTTCTCTTAAGGTTAACATGCAGGTTCAGTTGGCAGTTAGGAAAGCAAATGCAATGTTAGCATTCATTTTAAGAGAGCTAGAATACAAGAGCAAAGATGTACTGCTGAGGCTGTATAAAGCTCTGGTCAGACCGCTTTTGGAATACTGAGAGCAGTTTTAAGCCCTGTATCTAAGGAAGGATGTGCTGGCATTGCAGGGGATCCAGAGGATGTATACAAGAATATCCTGGGAATAAAGGGCTTGACATATCAGGACCAGTTGAAGGCTCTGGATCTGCACTCAATGGAGATTAGTGTGTGTGTTGGGGGGGGATCTAATTGAAATTTACACAACACTGAGAGGCCTGGGTAGAGTGGACATGGAGAAGATGTTTCCACTAGTAGGAAAGACTAGGACCCAAAGGTACAGGGTCAGAATGAAGGGATGGCCCTTTCGAACTGAGATGAGGAGGAATGTCTTCAGCCAGAGGGTGGTTTATCTGTGGAACTCATTGATACAGAGGGCTGTGGAGACCAAGCATTGAGTGTAGTTCAGACAGAGATATATAGGTTTTTGATTGGTAAGGGGTTCAAGGATTACGGAAGGAGAATAGGGTTGAGAAACACATCAGCTGTGATTGAATGGCATAGCAGACTTGATGGGCTGAATGGCCTAATTCTGCTCCCACACGTTATGGTCTTTTTCTATGAATACTGACCCTCCAATGGTGCAGATTTGATTTTGCTGTTCCTTACCAGGGTCTGTGTTTGTGAATATCTTGCTCTCGCTAGGTCGATGACACTGATGTTGTTGTACATAATGTTCTCCATACAGCCCTGGAAGTTTGGCTTGTCGACCAGTCTCAGTCTCTCTGTAGTATTCAGCCCACCAAAAACAATCTGAAATAAAGACAACATAAAATCAGGGAGTGAGCCATTGCTCTATAACACTTAAATATTAAGTAAATGATGAATTCGCTCAACAGAACAAAATCAGCTCCAGTCACTCCCCAAGAGGTGCCACACTGATAAGTATAAGACTCACAAAAGGCTCACTGCATGAAATTGAGCAGTAAATGATGCAACAATTAAACCATAAACAAGTAACAAACACAATTCAACAAGAAACTGAAATATTTAACTTAAATTTGTAACAGACTTGAATCTTTTTCAACAAATCAGAAGATTTCAACCAAGCATGCCACTTGGTGACAGTTTTAAATATCAAACCAGCTTACCAGAGAATTCAAATCCAAGTGATCAAAGTCACCATTTGTGAGAAGGCGTTCAACATGACCATCGAGAGTGACATTAAGGTCCTGCCCATAGCGCTCAATGAAGACCATGTGCCAATGCTGGTCATCAAGTAAACTGCCCAGTTTGATGGAAGTCTCTCCACTCACAGAATGGATATTGCTGCTGCCTGTACCAGAAACACAAGAACAGTACATCAAGAGCTCTGTAATGTGGCCTGTGATTAGCAGCATGCTTGAGATAGCATAATTTCTTTTTTAAAATAATTTCCAATAGGTTGGCATCACTGATAAGACTAACATTTATTGCCCACCTCTAAATACAAATCAGAAGGTGGGGGCGAGCTGCCTTCTTGACCCGCTGCAGTCCACCTGCTGTGGGTTGACCCACAATGCCTTTTGGGAGGGAATTCCAGGATTGTGACCCAGCCACACTGAAGGAGCAGGGATATATTTCCAAGTCAGGATGGTGAGTGGCTTGGAGGGGAACTTGCAGGTGGTGATGTACCCATGCAACTGTCGCCCTTGTCCTTCTAGTGGTAGAAGTTGCAAGTTTAGAAGGTACTGTTAAAGGAGTCTTGGTGGATTTCTGCAGTGCATCTTGTAAATGGTACACACTGCTATTACTAAGCATTGATGGTGAAGGGAGGGAATGCTGAAGGTGGTGAATATGGTGCCAATCAAGCCGTCTGCTTTGTCGTGAATGGTGTTGAGCTTCTTGAGTGCTGTTGGGGCTGCACTCATCCAGGCAAGTGGGGAGTATTCCATCACACTCCTGACTTGTGCCTTGTAGATGGTGGACAAGTTTTGAGGAGTCAGGAGGTATGTTACTCGCTGCAGTATTCCCAGCCTCTGACCTGCTCTTATAGCCACTGTCTTTATGTGATGAGTTCAGTTGATGTTTTGGTCAATGATAACCCCCAGGGATGTTGATAGTGAGGATTTCAGTGATGATAACACTACTGAATGTCAAGGGATGGTGGTTAGATTGTCTCTTGTTGGTGATGGTCATAGCCTGGCATTTGTGTGGCACGAATGTTATTTGCCACTTGTCAGCCCAAGCCTGGATATTGTCCAGATCTTGTTGGGTCTGGACATTGACTGCTTCAGTGTTGGAGGAGTAGTGAATGGTGTTGAACATTGTGCAACCATCGACGAACATCCCCATCTTTAACCTTATGCTGGAGGAAAGTCATTGATGAAGCAGCTGAAGATGGTTGGGCCTTGGACACTACCCTGAGGGCCTCCTGCAGAGATGTCCTGGAGGTGAGATGACTGACCTTCAACAACCACAACCATCTTCCCACGTTCTTGGAGCTGATTCTTTATGATTCAGATGATAGTGACAAAGTCAGGTTGTTGTTTGACTACCCTGTGGGTCAGCCCTCCCAATTTTTGCACAAGTCTTCAGGTGAATCCCAGTAGGTTGGTTGATATTGATTTATCTGTCCAGGTTCATTCTTTATACATTATACTAAATCTACCTCTTAGATCTCTGTACCTGCCTGCAATCTTGGTCATGGTTGGTCCTATCATCGTCCTCACACACCTCTCTATGTGTCCAGCTCCACAGCGGGGGAGGGGACTGCTCTGTCCTGCTTTCTTTCTCATCTATCCCAGCGGTGTCTCCTGTAAACCCCCATAATGGATTCTCTTCCTACTCCTGCAGTATCACCTCAACCCCCCTCAACGATCTATCCTTGGCCCCTTCTGTTTCTCATCCACATGCTGCACTGATAAAACACAACTCTGCCTCACCACCAACAAAAACACAAAGTGCTGGAGAAACTCAGCAAGTCTGGCAGCATCTGTGGAGTGAGAAACAGAGTTAATGTTTCAGCTCCAGTGACTCTTCATCTGAGCTGATTGAGTTTTTTTTAATGACAATTCAGCTATTTCCCTTCTTGCCACCTCCTCCTTCTAGCTCTCCACTGTCTCTCAATTGTCAGAAAACTTGTCCCACATCCAGTGCTGGAAGAGCAGAAGTTGCCTCCAACCAAATTTTGGGAAGATAAAGGCCAAATTTTTGGTACCCACCAGAAATGTTACTGTAATTTATAACATTGGCTAGAGATTTCATTCCCTGTAAAACATTCTTGATCCACTTGAGATTGTTATGATAATTCAGTTATTTCCTAATCATTTTACTGATGCTAAATTTTTATTTCAGATTTAATTAACTGAATTTCCCAACTGTTGCAGTAGGATTTGAACTCAGTCCCCAGATTGTTAGTCCAGGCCTTGTGAGTACCACTCAGTGATATATCCATTCCAGTTCCCAGCATATCCCAGGTTTGTAATTCATGTTGTTCAAGTGCAATATCATAGTCTACTTTGCATCATTCCTGAAGTCTGCTAATAGCGTCTGTAACTTGTAATGTGCTTTGATTCAGCTTTTTCTCTGCTTTGCTTGCCGGATGTTAATGAACAAACTCAATCACTACTGCAGTTACTGACATCAGTGATGAGCCTGTTAAATGATGCAATGCTCCAGATTAAATACCTAAGTTAATGTGAAACAGAAGCTTTGCTCCCTGGAGCTCCACCGTGATATAATCTCCCTCTTCACCCTCACTGTGTAGAAGAAGTCCATCCTGAGCCATAGTTTTGAAGTTGAATGAGATGGAGTCGAACAACGTGCGAGTATTTCCATCCTGGAACTGGTAGCTCAGAGAACTGTTCCCGTCAAAAGAGACCATGTCAGAATCTAAAGATTGAACACAAATTTTCAACATGAATCCCAGATATATCAGCCAATTGGAACAACCTGGCTGAGGGGATGGGAGTGGTTGGAAGGGGAAAAAGAAGAGTAGGATAGGAGGAGGAGGAGGAGGAGGAGGCAGGAAGGCAAGAGAAAAAGAATTTACACATGTAGCACAGCACATTAGGCAATTCCAAAGTCCAGTTGATGTTGAAATTTAGGAAAGTCTTCCACACATCAGGTTCTCTCAGTCAGAAATGACTGTAACAAACAAAATGACTAAAGCAATAAAAAGTCAACAGGTTTTGACACAGCAGATACAGAGACAATGTGGGGAAAAGCAGAACTAGAAGCCTCCGGTATAAAATAGTCACCAAGAAATGCAACTGGGAATCCAGCAGCAACTTCCTCACCCAGAGGTTGTTGAGAATGTGTGAATTGGATGGTTTTAAGGGAAAACTAGGCGCATTCATATGGGAGAAAGGAATTGAGGGTTTAAGTGATCTATTTAGATGAGGAAAGGCAAGGGGATGCTCAAGTGGAGGATAAATCCCAGGAAAGATTGGATGGGCCAAATGTCCTCATTCTGTGCCATGCATCCGATGTAATCTGTTGTAATATTGAAGTATAATATAAATTGCTGATAAAACTATACTTAATGGAAGAGTTTCATCTTGCACTCATCAGGACAGTTCACAAGAATACTAATGTAAAGGAAAAGAATATTTAAATACTGTATGAGAAGGTTGAGCAGATTGATTGAGAAGTGGATAGCTAGAGATATTGGCATGGTGAATGCACCCATTAACGATGATTGACAGTCATAAGAAACATGTCTTTGAGGGAATGACACTTAACCTCATATCCCTCACGTATTTCTAATGCGTAGGTGATACTTTTGCTCGAAGCTGCACATAAGAATTTCCTCAATGTCTTAGCAGGCTCCATCCTGTGCTCAAATTCATCTTTTATGTGGAACAGTGAAAATGGCGGTTGTCTACTACAGTCTACCACAAACCAACCTTCTCTGTTCAGTATACATGAGGATTCCTCCAGATTCTATAAGATTTCATAAATAGGGCTGGAGCCATTTTGCTCACTGTGTGTACCTGATACAATTAGTTCTGATATAACGCGTGTTTCTTTGGTTCAAATTGGCTGTAACGCAATTGAAGAATAGGAGAACGCTATTTGTAAAATGCGAACTGTCCCTACCTGCGTTGGCTATAACACGATTCCGTCCCCATCACGTTAATTGTCATGGTAATTGTGCAATTTTCTATAGCACAAGAACGCAACTATCGTGTTATATCAGAACCAACTGTACTGAAACAGATTCATCAAAGCCTTCCCATTGAATAATGGTGACCCCAGTCAGATCATTCCTCACTGTATATCACAATAACTCATGGAAGGTCTTAAGGCTGTCAACATGACCCTGAAAAGTAGCAGTCCACCTAAAGGTATTCTATACGTTTGAGCAACGGGTGAAGCTTGGTGTTTCTTACTGATCATATGCAGTGGCAATACAAGCGACACTCACCAACAACTGGATGCTGCTGGTAAGCCAAAATGACCTTTTGCCTATCACATAAATAAGGTTTATGAATTTCAGTGCCAGTGTGATGACAGTATATAGGCTGTATGCCCCAAACAGTGGCAGGTTGCATCTAACAGCATGTCTTTGACTGTTCACAGTAAACAAGGTACTGACCATACCTAACCAGCCTGCACTTGTGAAACTCAAAACGCAGCGTCCATTATTAATTGTGATTCTGCAATTGGAAAACATTTGCTGGGTAATTCTGAATGTACAAAGAATTACGCTAACAATGAATTTAGGATCGTCGGTCAGGACCACAGTGTGGTACACTTGCATATACTGGGAGCTACATATATAAATAAACAGAGCAATGTTCCTGCAGACAGAAAGAACACGCGCACACACTGCATCTGTTTCAAATGAACAGTACCACCAGCAGCCGTTCTCAAATTCACTCCTCGGGGCAATACCTTGCCAAACAATGTCAAACAGCCTGGTTTACAATTTAAACAAGGCTTGGTAATTAACTGTCAATCAGCACTAATGGATCCATTCTCCATGGCAACACCTCTACCAATCAACATTTAGTTGTCAACTAATTAGCATTCTGCTTTCATTTGGTTTTCCCTTTGTATTGGTATTTTTGTGAATTGTATATTGTAGAGTGAACCCTTAACCTCTAACGGTTAATAAAGAAATTGAACAGGTTCAAGTCAAAAAATAAGACTCAGGTCGATCGGAAATTCACTAAAGGATAGATGAGCTAGATGGGCTGAAGGTTTACCATAACACATAGGAGCAGGAGTAGGCCATTCAGCCCATCTAGTCTGCTCTGCCACTCAATGAGATCACAGCTGATCTGATAATCCTCAACACCTTCACTCTCCTAACTTTTCTCCATAACCCCTGATCCTGTGACTGATTAAAAATCTGCCCATCTCACTCTTGAATATACTCAGTGACTCAGCTCCCAGCCACCTTAGTGGTGAAGAATTTCACAGATTCATTACTCTATGACAGAAGAAATTCCTCCTCATTTCTGTCTTCAATGTATGTCACCTTATTTTGAAATGACACCCTCTGGACAATTTCACATCTATCCTGTCACGTCCCCTAAGAAGCTGAGAACAGGTTTCCAATCTGATTCTGCTGCTTTGTTACTACAGCGTATTATGTTGTTGTGCAACATCTAACTATTTTGTTGCAGTCTGACAGAATTAGTTCGGTATATGCTGAAGGAACTAATAAATCAGTTAACACTTGGATCAAACATATCAAACAGCCACAAACGTATATAGAATCTGTGCAATATCCCCAAGATGGACACCACTGTCCTCCTGGCTCCCTGATGCTGCACCCTCCCTCTCCGTCGCCCACCCTCCCTCTCCATCGCCCACTGCCCCAGTAACTCTGATGATGGACAGGGTCACTGTTGGTACTTACCATAATAGCAGCCATAGACTTCGACCCGAAGCCCAACGTAACGATTGACATTCCAGCCCAGGGCCACGAAGCGGACGGAACGTGCGAGAATCGGTCTCCACAGCTCGTGTCGAACCACATCATCAGAATTCCGGTTTCCTGCAAAAGTCTTCATCAAGAGTGTGATTATTCAGGGAGTGAGCAGTGTGGGGAGAAGGGGACAGAGGTGGGTTGGTAGAAAGATGAAGGGGCAAAATATGAAGTGGCAGAGGTAAGAGGAGGATGAGAGATATGGGCAGAGCTGGCAATGGGTGAGGGGATTGATCAGTGAAAGTATGTACAATGTCATAGTGACTGCATCCAACAACTTATTAAACATCCACTGAGGGCATCACTTCATTTCGATTTATATAAACTTATTCAGTTGATGAGACAAACCTGAACTGATGCACCAAAGGTCTGGGTATTTTTTAATATCTACAAGAGGTGTACTTGAGAGTGTAAGACCTACCCAGTTATGTCCCTGCTGATAGAATGGTGTCCAGTTGTCTGGTCGGTCACCATATAAGAAGAGGTACTTAGTCACCCAATCAAAGGAGTTGTATGTTCCTTGTGTGGCAATGGCAGTGATTTTCGATCTCTGTGACAGGTTAATCTGGAGCCAGGGGAGTCGATCTGAAACCTGGGGAGACCAACCACCTCTCGCTGAAAAAAAAAGTCAATAACAACGCATGAGGCTAATGCAGCCACCCAGCAGCTGTCTCAGCAAGGGGAGGGAAGGGGGAGAGGAATCCAGGCAGTCTGGGAAGGGCAGATGAGGCAGTGTGGGGGAGGGGACTGTAGGGAAGGAGGTTATGGGGAGTGTTCAGTAGGGTAGGAGGATGTGGAGAGCTGTGGGCAAGGTTGGAGTGTGGAGGGGGGTAAGAGTTGGATAGGCTTGATGCCCATGACCTGTACTGGTGGCAAAACAAACAGCTCTGAAAGACGGCCCATTGTCAGAGATCGCGGTCCAGGCATCCCGTACAGGGAGACTCCTCATGGCAGAAATAACAGAAGACATCAGGAATCCTAATGCTGACCTGAACATGGCAGTCCCCATTTTTGACTCAACTCAGGATTTGCACAAGTTGAACTTTGTGAGGCTGCCGGCCATTTGAATCAGCAGCTGCCTTCACTCTAGTGTGATTTTGGGGAAATCAGTGTCTAACTCACAAAGGTACCAGGTTAAACATGGGCAAGGAAACCACCTGCTGATTATTACATACTGTCCTCTCTCAGCTGATGAATCAATGCTTCTCCATGTTGAACAACACTTGAAGGCAGCTCTGAGGGTGGCAAGGGCACAAAATGTACTCTGGGTGGGGATTTCAATGTCCACTACCAACAGTGATTCGCACTACCAATCGAGCTGGTTGGGTCTGAAAGGACACAGCTGTTAGACTGGGTCTGCAGTGGGTGGTGAAGGAGTCAATGAAGGAAAAACATACTTGACCCTCACCAATTGTATCTATCTGTGACAGTATCGATGAGAGTGATCACCGACACAGTCCTTTTGGAGACAAAGTCCTGCCTTCACATGAAGATAACCTCCATCATGTTGTGTGACACTATCATTAAATGGGGCAGACTTCAAAAAGATCTATCAACTCAAGACCGAGAATCCACGAGATGCTGTTAAACATCACCAGCAACAAGATAGTACTCCAGCGCAATCTACAACCTCATGGCCCAGCACACACCCTACTCAAACATTACCCAGCTTCCCTTGCAAAACCCTCTAACTACTAAGGTTCCACCTCTCTGTCAGATGTGCTATTCTCAAATTTACCTCCCTCCTATTACCCTCCTTTCCTACCTACCTCCACTCCATTCCTACCTGCTTTCTCCAACACATTTACTCCATCGCTCACTATCTACACTTTCCCCTCCCCTTCAGCATCCCTCTCCTCACTCCCCTGTCCTTCACCTCATTCCCCAGTCCCTCTCTGCAGTCCCCAAGCCCTCCAGTGCCTCACCCCCCTACTCCGGCCAGTCCTGCTCCCACTCCCGTCCCCACTCTCACCATACTGATGGTTTGGCTTGTGACCTTACAGTGCAGTTTTCCATAGCTGGGTGAGTAGGAATATGAATAATAGGAGGAAGCTGTCATGGAACTCGAATATTCTTGAGCCACCAGGGGTTCATTACATCGTTCTGAAAATAAAAACAAAAAGAAAACTTTCAGATGATTGTTTTATCTTTTTTAAAACTTTTTTTTTTTAAAAGGATTTTGACGATCTAACTCAGAATTAATTTGGAATAAAACATACTCTGATCCTGATGTCAATTTGACAAAATTCTTCTTCATCCACGTTTTCATCCCCTTCCACTCTCTTCCATCAGACAGAAGATATTAAAATTTGAAAACAGGTACCAACAGTTTCAAGAACAGTTTCTTCCCTGCTGTTATCAGACTATTGAACAGACCTCTCATATTAGAGTTGATCTTACTCTGCATCTTCTCTGTCACTCTAACGGTATATTCTGATTCTGTTCTATTCCCCTGATGTATTTGTGTAAGGTATGATTTTCCTGGATAGCACACAAAACAATACTTTTCACAGCATCTTGCTAGACATGACAATTATAAATCAAAAAAGAAACATTTAAAAAAATACCGATTGGACAAATAGATCTAATTCCACAAAATATCAGCCAAAATGAGCAGCTATCAGACCAGGAGAGGGGTCAGGAATGTAGGAAAACTCTAACAGGAATAGACCACTTCGCCTCTTGATTCTGGTTGGCCTTTCTAAGTCACTTTTGTACCTTAACACCGTTACCCTGCGTTGTCCCTAAATAACATTAGTAATAAGAAATCTATTGATTTTTATTTTGAATTTTCTCATTGACAGAATCTCCATAGCCTGTAGGCAGAAAATTCCAAACTCTCCCCATCTTCTCGGTGAAGAGGTTCCTCCTCATTTCAGTCCAAAATAGCATATCCTTTATTCTGAATCTGTGACCTTGGTTCTAGCCCACAGTATCTCCCACAATACTCCAGGTTCAGCCTTACTGGACTCACTACAACCGCAACAAACATCTCTTTACTAATGCACTCAAATCCCCTTGTAATAAAGGCAACATAACATGTACCATTCCCAATTTCTTGCTGAACCAGCATGCCAACTGTCTGTGATTGATTTTGAAAGTGAGAAATCTGTGACCAGAAGTACATCATCTCCAAAAAGCAATGTGAGTAAATGGCCAGCTTCCAGCCTGTACAATGCTGCATGTGATTATCTGAATGGAGTAGGGGTTCGCTAGGACAGTGGAATTCTCTCACAGAAATGGGAAAATTTGGGTTAGATGGGGAGTAAAAGTGTAAAACAAAATCTGAATCCTGCCTCCTATCTGCCCACTTCTGGTTTTAATGAAGATGAGAGAGTACATTGTAAATTGTGAACAATCAACTCTCAATAAAACTGCCTCATTGTTTATCCTTGTTTACAATGTTTAATATCACGCTGGCCAGCCAGGCTTGCTAACCAACCAATGCTTCCGAAGGTCTCTAACGACCCTATACCTGTCCCCACGACTCTTCCAACTTCCCAAAAAGCCTGCAGTCACTCTGTCCGTTCTCTGTTCCATGGCTGGAACTGCCCCCTCCTCCCCTGGCCCCATCCCATCTGAATATGTGGCTAGATACAGAGACTAAAATTACATTTTCTGCACAACCTGAGATAAATGCAAGTTTCCAGCACCCATTATGCATCCCCACACCACCCCCAGATTCCTCTCCTCCAAATTAATATCAAGGTTTGTGTGGAATTGCCCATCCTTGTTCAAATCATTAAGCAATATGGCTGAAGAGGAGGCCATTCAGCCCAGCATTGCTTGGCAGCTCTTAGAAAGAGCTATCCAAATGATTCCATTTCCCCTGCTTAAAAATAAAATGATAGGAGCAGGAGTAGGCCATTCAGCCCCTCAAACCTGCCCCATCACCCTATAAGATCATGGCTGAGCTATCCCAGGCCTCTTTTGTGCCAATACTCCCCAATATTTCAAAAATCCCTCGATCTTTTTAAATACTTCCAATGATCTTATCTCCACAATTCTCTGAAGTAGAGAATTCCAGACATTCCAGATTTCCAGAAATTTCTACACATCTCAGTTTTAAATAGTGCCCCCTTATTCTGTAACTATGTCCCTATTTTGACACTTCCCCATTAGAGGAAACATTACCTCATCACTTTCCTTGTCGAGTCCCCTCAGAAACTTAAATGTTTCAACAAGATCACCCTTCATTCTTCTAAACTCTGATGAATAAAGACCTAACCAGTTTAGTCATTTTTGATAAGCCAATGCTTTCATCCCAGGAATTAGTCTAATGAATCTCTTTTAAATTGCCTCCAATACCGGAATATCCTTTATTTTAAATACAAAGACCAAGACAGTACACAGTATTCCGGGTGCAGACTCACCAACACCCTATTTAGTCATAACAAGAATTCCCTCCTTTTAAACTCCAGTTTTCTAGCAATAAAGACCATAACTCCATTTCCCTTAATTACTTGCTGTGCCTGCACATTAACTTGTTATATTTCATGCACAAGAACTTCCAAATCCCTCTGTGCTGCTCTTTTCTGGAGTTTCCGTCTATTTAAATAATAGTCCACCTTTTAATTCTTCTGCCAAAGTGCATGACCTCACTCTTTCCTGCATTAAACTCCATTTGTCAAGGATTGCCCACTCACCTAATCTATCTATATCCCATTGGAGATTCCTTACGTCCTCATCACAACATGCCCTCACATCTATTTTTGTATTGTCAGCAAATTTGAAAACTTTACATTCTGCTCCTCCTTCAAGTCATTAGCATAAAATAGTAAATAATTGAGGCCCCAGTCTGATCCTTGTAGCATTCCATTGATTACATCTTTCCAACCACAAAAAGACCCATTAGTCCCTGCTTTGACAATGTGTTAACCAACGCTTGGAAACACAAATACACACACTGTCATCACTTGAAAAAACCTGCAGCAAATTGGTCAAAAACTATTCTCTTTCACAACATCCCTGTCCCCTCCCTCTCCAGGAGAAGCAGCTCATAACCACCCTTTCCATTGCTGTCCCTTTCCATTTCCAAATTAAACGGTGTCCCACTGCTTCCTGACCCTCCCCACTCCCCTCGCCTGGGGAGGCAGGGCTCTGTCCCTCACTCCCGGGAGGTCACCCTCACTTT